AATATGAAAAAAAATTGAAAATAATTTGCGTATATTTCCACTAATGTGGTTTCCTTGAAAATAGTAAAGTCCACTACAGTCAAATAATTTCAAGAATATGATTGTTTTGCATATATTTTTTTGATGAAGTGAAATTTAATTTCTCAGAAATTTTACAAAAGTTGATCATTTAATATTATTAATTAGTCCTTGGGTGATCATGTTTGTCTTGGTTAAAAGAAACATGGCATATGAGAAGGAAAACATTATTTTATAAGGCCAAGTGTTTTGCTCTCTATGTTTAAAAATTTGAACAAAAGTACTCTTTTTCAAAAGTGTCCAATGCTAGCTGAGTTAAATCAGAAGTATACTAGTGTGTGACTCTAATTTGTAGTTTTGAATTGTTTCCTTTCTTCATTCACTAATCTGCTGAAAGACATTTACTAACAGAAGACTAATTGTCTATTTAATTTGCTTTCACAGCAGCTAGAAACGGGTTTTATATCTGGCTGTATACCCTGCTATAAACATAGAACAATGGCATTATATACAATAAGAATTACTATACTTTCAAAAAATCATAGCATCAATAAGGATAATACAAGATGTTACCTGCATAACATTAATCATTAACAACATAATTTAATGTTAAAATTATAATTCCAGTTAAACACCAGTAATTTACAATTTTTGAGTCATATTTTCAGATATGAAATCAAGGAACTATTTCAGTGTATAAAAAATTAGAATTTTGTGTTTTTAATTATACTCAATTCCCATGTCATGGAGTAATCTTTTAATTTGTTTCCCAGATACAAGGTTACTCTGGCGGGGTAGAAACAGCAACATCAAAATCTCTCTATTTACATTAAAATTTTGTCATTTTATAAGACTCTATCATCCTAACTAAATAGTATAAAGTCAGGAGAAATAGAAAAGATCCTTCTTAAGAAGAACAATAGTATAAACTGACCAGAATCCCCAGAGCTCCCAGGGATTAAACAACCAACCGAAGAGTACACATGGAGGAACCCATGGCTCCAGCTGCATAGGTAGCAGAGGATGGCCTTGTAGGGCATCAGAGGGAGGAGAGGTCCTTGGTCCTGTGAAAGCTTGATGCCTCAGTGTAGGGGAATTCAAGGGCAGGGAGGCAGGGGTGGGTGGGTTGGAGAACACCCTCAGGGGGGATGGGATATGGGTTTTGGTGGGAAACTAGAAAAGCGGATAACATTTGATATGCAAATAAAGAAAAATATCCAATAAAAAAGAAAACATCCTTCTTACACTGTATAAGCCATTTTCCACAAGACAAGATACCTAGATGGCATTTGTATAGATACAGATAATTGTCTTTTCATAAATAGAAAATTTCCCAAGATTGTTTAATAGACTATCAAATGTATGAAGATCACTGTTCAAAATTCTGTGTATATTTATTTCTGGAAAAAAATATATGATTAAAACCCAGCAAGTTGTTAGTCTCCTCTTTTTAAAGTGTTTTCAATTATTTATTTGTTAGCTCTCTAACAAAATAATACAGTTTAATACTGAGAATACTGATGTCGTGTTTTTATAGTTGCCGTATACAAATTATAATACAAATTTTATATTATCTCACGGAACATATATTTAATCAATTAGTAGATGTCACATATAAATACATATGTGATAAATTAATAGAGATCATATATAGATATTTTAATTAATAGATATAGATATATAGATTTGATAACAAAGTCCTATATTTATATGAAGGGATATAAGCCATTACTTCTAAAGTGTCATGTTAATGAAAAAGGATTTATATATGTAAGATTTTCAATCCGGCTTCAAATCTTAAGCCTTTTGAATTAGTTAGCCAAGGCATCAAGGGAGCTTAAGACAGCTTACATGATACTTCAGTTTATTTAACATGAAATCAATAGAAAGAGGCTTTGTCTTTACCAGAATACAGGACATTGGTTGTAAAAGGGCAACACATTTGATATAGTTTTTCTCCTATAGATTTTAAAATTTCAGTCCAATGATGGAAATTAGTGGAAGATTAATTAACGTCTTAAAGTCACACGGGCTTGCATGTTATTTACTGGTTAGTGTGACTTTTCCTAGAAATCTTGCTATAACTTACATATACTAGTTTAAGACAGAATTAAAAATGCTGAAGCTGCAATGATATACTACTTTCAGTACATTACAGAAATTCAATATTTGTACATGACAAAAGATATACAGTGATAAAAAAATGAAAACAGGATAATTTCTGCTTAGAACAAGAAGTTAACTATATATAATTAAGGGGTTTTCAGGTAATCACATCATATGGCAAAGATGAAAGCCCTGAAATAAGAGTTGAACACTGGGTCACTCATTTAGCTCAGGGGCCAAGTGACTTTATAAACAAGTAATGAAACAGCTCTCAATTTGTTATGTAGAACAAAAGTAAACAGTCAAAGATTTGAAATCTTTCGCAGACCACATTACCTCATTTGAGATACAAACCAATAATCAATAATAAGTAGGAAAATACATGACAAAGGAATATTTACTACAAAATATTTAATTACTTAAAATATTGTACTCTTTGGAAGCTATTATATTTTTCAAGAACTTTAAACTTTATTTATATTTTATTGCCTTTAATTTTGAGGATATCTGTAATTTGGGGGATAAACTTACATGGTTTCATAATTTTGTTCCTCTTGATAAACAGTTGAAAAATTAAGACTATTAATTTCAGCAATGAAAAATACATGGAAATGTAAAATGTTACTCCACTGAAAAGAGAAAGATAGTGCTGAAGGCATATTTTTCTTCATGAATGTATGTACTTGCATGCATAGATATACTTCAAAGGTTTCTTGAGGCATGGGGATTTTTAAATCTTGCTAATACTTCTATGGTTATGATTGGGATAAAAAAAATATTGGCAGAAACTCAACTGAGTAGGAGAAATAGAATGACACATTCTCGGCTCAAGACCTTTTTTTAACTCGGTGTATCATTTTAAACTCCATCCTTGGAGAAATTATAGGTCATTATTCTTAGTAGTCTTTCTATAAAACATAAAGCAATCTTATATACATGCATTTTACCTAGAAATTTTTACTTTGAGATAAACACAGAAGCGTGTTGTCTTTCTAAGCTCTTGAAATGAATGAAGTGATGTTGGTTTACAATGAGCCTTTAAGGTGTTGATTCCATTCATGTAAGAAATAATTTATAATATAAGTCTAGTAAATGTGATTACACATCAGACTCAGATCTAGTCTTCAAACCTATGGGCACAGACCTCACAGAATTGATAATATGAAAAAATTATGAGAACTGAAAGTTTAAATACCTGATAGAATAGAATACTCAGATACTGCTGAAAGACGTATGGATAAAAGTACTTTTTTTATTAGTCTCACTCTCTCAACAAGAGCTCAGGGTAAATACAAATAAATAATCAAAAACCTATTTTAAGTCTGGTTAAGTGTCATTCATATGAAAAACTAAAAGGCTTAGTGTGTGTGTGTGTGTGTGTGTGTGTGTGTGTGTGTGTGTGTCTGTGTGTGTGTGTGTGTGAGAGAGAGAGAGAGAGAGAGAGAGAGAGAAGGAGAGAGCGTAAGAGAGAGAGGAGAGACAGAGAGAGAGAGACAGAGAGAGAGAGAGAAAGAGAGAGAGAGAAGAAGAGAGTGTAAGAGAGAGAGGAGAGACAGAGAGAGAGAGAGAGAGAGAGAGAGAGAGAGAGAGAGAGAGAGACACAGAGAGAGTTGAAAACAAGACTTCTTTGCACATACAAACAGATCCAGCCTCTCCCATATGCAGAGATTATACTAAGGTGATAATCATGACATGATTGAGTCACAGCTTAGAATAACTGATCGAAACACATTTAAAAATGTTTTCACTTTAGTTTTATTGAAGTGAGCAGTAATCTTAAACTTTCTTAAAAGGCACCCAAGTATAATTATCTTGTGAACCAAAAATATACAAAACTGTACAGAATAAATAGTTCATAAAAATCTAGTGATACCTCCTTGTAAAATAAAGCTACACTGTCCCTCTCCTGAGGCAACTCAGAACACTTACCTGTAGAAGCGCCTTTTGCTACTAATCTACAGTATCTATCAGTGTATGTCAATAAAAATAAAATAATTTTTGCTATTCATTTTATACTTTTGAATTACTTGCCACAAAAGACGTATCTTTATCAGTATCATCCAGTTGTACAAATAATTAACACTATGAAAAGAAGCAAACTTACTAAGTGCTCTAATCATATATACAGTAGAATCTCAGTAGCATTTAAAAAAATATCCCAAGAAGAATAGAATATTGGACACAAGTAATATACCTTAGTTTCACAGCAGCTTTACATAAAAAAAAAATCCGCACAAAATGTGTAGATTAAATTAACACATCTGCTTATTTATCCTACATGAACTATTTGCCATCTTGAGTCTTACTTCAGAAAGCTTAGGAATGGCATTTGTCTATTCATCCTTTGTTGAATGTTTCTGAATCATTAATGGCCCATATAATTACAAAATTTACATTTTTATTTACTATTGCCATCTTTTTTAAAAAATTAAGTTCCAGTTCCCTTTTCACTTATTGTGAGAAAATTTAGTGTGTTTGACAATGTAAATTTCTGACATATATGTTGTTATGAATATATTCCTTACATAGTATGTATATATATATATATATATATATATATATATATATATATATATACAGGTATATACTTAACTGATGAAATTTAGTTGTATTTAGTCATGAGTAGAGAATTCAAGAAAACTGGAGCTTTTTTATATGTTCAAACCTTTAGATGTGTAAGATAAACTCTATGAAGTACTTGTGAGTATATAGAGCAACACTAATATAAACCTTGCTTCAGTTATATGCAAGACTTGTTTTATTTGGAACAGGCTATATTGCCTGCTGGTAACGCCATGGCTTCCTCAATTTTCCCTGAGTTTCATTGTCTTCCTTTATCTCCCATAGGATTACTGCTGCGCTGAATTCTGATTGGTGGCACCCACATAAGGCACTTATTTCAAAGGTTTGGAATTAAGTCAGAATCACAGCATTTCTGTAAAAGCCCACAAACAGTCCCTTTATGTTTGCTGCTCCAAGACTTCTAAATAGTCAGGTTCAGCATGCAAGTTAGCCTTGAGCTCAAAATATTCATTTTTAGTCTGTTCTACCAACACCTTCCTTGGTCGTGAGTACATCAATGTTTCCATTAATTTCAGCTCCTCATGGGCTCCAGGATAGTTAACCTCCACATCTGGCTGGAGCTGAGCAATATTTTTTCTTAGGTACTCTGTGATGCCTAGTTGCTGAAGTTCCCTCTCTTTCTCCAAAATGTTCCTATATAATAAGCTTGCATCCTGAAAAGATAGGAAATCTGTTGATTGGTCTGTAGTTTTGTATTTCATATTTGAACCTGTAAGAGGTGAATGATTTTCTCGTTCTAACAGGCTCCTTTGAAGATGTTTTGCATCATTTCCGTCTTTATCATTTTTTTCTTCAACTTCTTCCAAATGCTTTGGACCAAAGGATGGACTTCTGTAGACATGAACCATTGGGCTCACCATGTGCTGTTCATAGAGAGAGGAAGAGGGTCTTTCAGTTGTATGGTGAGTGGTTTTATGACCATACATGCTGTACTGCAAGTGGACAGGACTATTGTCTCTCAGTTGCTCCTCTACTTTTTTCTTCTTATATCTTCTCCTACGGTGGAGGACAAAAACCACTATCCCTGCAGCACAGAATACAACAGTTATGAACACAATCAGAAGTCCTAATATTAGAACTGATAGGGGCACAGCATCTGTGAGAGAACTTAAAATAGTACCAGCTGTATCTGGTGGGACTGTAGGAGAAGTGAGAATAATGTAACTACTCTGAGTTGGCATGGAAGGGTTATTTACTAAACCAGGGCAAAGAAGTTCACTGTTGAGGGCTTTTAATTCCTTTTTTTCAAGATGCCCTGGGGAAGTACAGAGGATATCATCTGTCATGGTGCCCTTGCCAAGCTTGTGTATCCATTGCTGCAATCCAACCAGGTCACAAGAGCAGTCCCAGGGATTATCCTCAAGGTCAATCTGTATCAGGAAGTCAAGGTCATCTAAGATGTTACTTACAGGTAAATGGGTGAACTGGTTTGTTTTAAGATTTACTCTAGTTAGAGGAATACCTAAAAAAATATGTGCAGGTAAAACTTGAAGGAGATTGTTATTTAAATAAAGAACTTTCAGTTTAGGCATTGGGTTGAAGGTTCCTGGTAATATTTCCTTTACTGCATTGTATTCAAGATACAAATACTCGAGACTGAAAAGACCAAGGAACATGCCTTTATTTAGTTTGGTCAGATGATTGCCATTGAGATAGAGCTTCTGGAGTCTTGTCAGATTCATAAATGATCCTTCTTCAAGAATTTCAATACGATTGTTTCCCAAGTGAAGCATTTCCAAAGTGAAATAGTCCATCAGGTCAGACTTCATTAAGGTATGAATAATATTGCCTGCAAGAATCAGCTTTCTAGGATTGTGTGGAGGAGGTTGTAGATCTGACAAGCTTTCAATATTGCGCTCCTGACAGTGGATTAGAAGTCCAGAAGGGGAGAGAACTTTGCAGTTGCAAGGAATAGGACAGTAAGGTACCGGAAGCTGAGTGGATGGCTTTGTAAGGTAAGGTACCAAACCTGGTGCTTTGGTAGGTTGTTTTAAAATGGATGTATTCTTGCTTGATAGGCGGCTGTCACTTGTTGAAGATGTTATGGCCAGCAGAGATCCTGATGGATCCTCATGTTCTTCATATACTGGTGGAGTAGGGCAAATAGATTCCTTTTTCAGGCGACTCAGTATGCTCCCTTTGAAAAGTGGAGGGCTGTAGCATATAACATCACCAATTATAGATTGTGGAGGCATATTTTCTAGCCAGTTTTTTAGCTGCAATAATTCACAATTGCAGGCCCACTTATTGTCCTCCAACTGGAGATCCAGTATCCGGCCAATGTGCTCTAAGAAGCCAACATAAGGCAATGTTTGCAACTGATTCCCACGAAGATCTAGATGGGTTAAAGGAACAAATCGAAATATGTTTGGAGGAAGACTCTCAATAGCGTTGTCATTTAAAATTAACACTTTCAGCCTGTTGAGCCTGCTGAAGGCACTTGGTTCAATTACTGTAATGAAATTATTATCAGCCTGCAAGAATTCCAGGTTCTCCAAACCATGGAAGGTGTCCTCTTTAAGAATTTCCAAAGAATTGTGATTGATGTGAAGTTGCTTAAGAAGTCCAAGGCCATTAAATGCACCAGTCTCTATATCTGCTATGTTATTAAATCCAAGGTGTATTGAAAGGGCATTGGTAAGCCCAGAAAAGTCATTCGTGTGAAGCACTGTCAAGCCATTATTTAATAAACTTAAGTGGAAAGGTCGTGATGGAGGCACACTGATTTGGGATAATTTATTGATGCCTTTTTCTTCACAGTTTATTACCATTATGCCATCTTTCTCCTCACAATTGCAAAGACTTTCACAAGAGCCTCTGACTGAGGGCATTGGTGATTGGGATTGTAGACATAAACAAGCAAGAAGAGATGGATAAAGGAGATAAATCCAAAGCTTCATTTTGTCATATGATTGGATCTGACTCTGTAAAAAAATCCAATAACAAGGGATTTTAATGGGCAAAAGCAGGGAGAAGTGTCTGAAAATTACCATGAAACTGTGCATAACGTGCTGTACCTACATTTTCTTTTAGTTCAAATCAACATTTAAACAGAGTACTTTACCTTTAGATTATATCTTACTCAAAATTAAGAATAATTAAATTATAATATTACATCAGCACTTGTGACCACAAGTGTTAAAAAGTACTTTTCACAGGAAAGAGAACTGCTGGCTACTGGATACTTCAACATGGTCCATAACTGAATATCTGAATACAACAACATGACTAATTTCCCTTGCAGCAAATGCTAGGGATATATATATATATATATATATATATATATATATATATATACTGGTGATAAAAACATGGTACAATGATACAAATGTGTATACAAGTGTGTACACTTGTAAGTGCATTTGTGTTCTCCAAAGCCTTAAATAATTATGTATGGGGATATATTTGTTTTAACTTGTTCTGGTTTTGCAGAACATTTGCATACTGTGGAGATTTCACTTTAAAAGATTTAGGAAGATGTGTCTTTAATTGTATAATAAAACTGTTTAGATTTGGCTCTTTTTCTTCTAAGGCAGTTTGCACAAGGCTTCTGAACATCAAATGTCTATGCTTAAGAATACTCATATTTTTTTTAAAAAAGTCACACTTTATATTGGATTTCTAGATGTGAGATACTTCCTGCTGCTTTTAAATTTCCTCATAATTAAAGTAAATCTTAGTTGACTAAAAAGAAATCTACAACATGTATTTCAATATTCTGTAAACAATCAAATGAGCTAAAACCAAAACAAAACAATCAATGCCTCCTGTAAAGGTCTGGGAAATAACTTGCAAAGGACATATTAAGCAGGTTGTAGGACAACGAATGTCACCTCACAATTCAACCTTCAGTAAGGGAAGCATTTTCAAAAAATGAGGTCTGAAATAAACTGCATGCCTTTAAAATTTTTCTGGATAGTCTGTAGATGCCTAAAAAAATGATAGACAAGTAAGAAACCATATATAGAAGCCAACAATTCTCATAAAACTACAGGCATATCAGCAGCCATCAGAAAGACTCACTTTGAAGTGATTTCAGAGACAAGTGAAAATACATACAAATATATATATATATACTTGTTCATTTCCTTAAGTATTTGACCATAGGTAGATAAATGAAGTTGAAAGACAAGTACCATAATTCACAACTATTGATCATGACAATGCTGTTTGATGTTAATTAAAATTGCAATCAGATAAAAATATCCCAGATTGAGTCAATAAGGCTGAAAGTAAATTTTGGTCCCTGAAAATACATTGTTTCCTCAGAAACTTACAATCCAAAGTTTCTGGAATGCAAAAGGCAACTGAAAGAACAAAACAATAGAAACCTTTTGCACATCAAGGCAAAGTTAGGAGGTTTTACATTTCCACAGGGAGAAAGACTAATTTTCAACAGTTCAGAGCACTCTGCTCAGAACTAAGGAGCTTGTGTTGGAGCTGGGGCTTTGGCTCACAGAAAGTCCAAGTAATTCATAAATTACCAACAAGGAGTTTGATTTATTTCATCAACAGCAGCATCCCGAGAACACAGTAAATATTTCCAGATGTTAACTGCCTATTTTTATCTTAATAAGCAAGTTATGCTATTCAAAATGTGCATGGTGGGGTTTTAAATATTTTCACAAATATACAGCTTTCAAGAATCAACCTCTATTGCCCATATCTAACATAATCTTAAAACAGTCACAACTGCATTTGAACATTTTCAAAGAGTACGTGTAATTTCATGACCGAACCGTATAAAAGTATCACCCGAAGTTCAAAGCATTGTCTAATATTGTGCCTATACTTGAAATTCAACCATAGCATTCAGTTGTCCCTCGGAAGGTACACACATTTAGTTTCTAATAACAAACTGCATATTTAAAAAAAAATAATGACATATTGTGGTGTCTGGTTTTCCCTACAGCCAGCTGTTGAACTAAATGCCGGTTGCTCAGGAGAAAAGCATCTGCTCCAGTGTTAGCTTGGCTAGTGAACAAAAATAAAACTGAGTTTCCTTTAAGGAAAAGAGAGAGAGAGAGAGAGAGAGAGAGAGAGAGAGAGAGAGAGAGAGA